ATATATAATATATATATATATATATATATGAATATATATATATATATATATATATATATATATATATATATATATATATATATATATATATATATATATTCATATATATATATATATATATATATATATATATATATATATATATATATATATATATATATATTCATATATATATATATATATATATATATATATATATATATATATATATATATATATATATATATATATATATATTCATATATATATATATATATATATATATATATATATATATATATATATATATATATATATATATATATTCATATATATATATATATATATATATATATATATATATATATATATATATATATATATATATTCATATATATATATATATATATATATATATTCATATATATATATTCATATATATATATATATATATATATATATATATATATATATATATATATATATTCATATATATATATATATATATATATATATATATATATATATATATATATATATATATATATATATATATATATATATATATATATATATATATATATATATATATATATATATATATATATACATATATTTATATCTATCTGTCGATCTATCTATCTATCTATCTATATATATGTATATATATAAATATATATATGGCAGGACTAGACTCCCTTTCAGGTAGCAAAATGCTTTTGCTGTTGACTCCTCTCCAAGTTTTACATGCTAGACTTTGTTTGCCTATTACTGCAGTATTTGTGGAACTGCAACCCCTCAGAAGAAGGCTTGAAGTCAGTTTTTAGCCTCATTCACAGGATGATCATATATACTACAGTTAAAATCGTAGTGTGTGGGAAATCTTATATTTCTTGTACTTCTAATTTATCCCTCAAGCAGCTAACTGCACACAGTACCTTGTGTATGGTCCAGCATGATGTGTGGAGCATCTGTTGGGATTGAATTAAAAACATCTGTGTCAGTGCTGCCATATTGATATAGAAAAAGATCCAATAAGTTTATACAGATTTAAGGTTATAGGAATAAGGCACTGGGAAAGAAACCATTTTTGTTACTTTTTTTTATTTATAGAAACCCTCTGCATGCATGCTAGCCTTTTTAGCAAGTTCATAATTTGCAGAACTGCTAACATCACACAGAGAAGGCAGAGCAGATTCTGTGATATATGAAGTTGTATTTAGGATCGACTACCACTTGTGTGATTGACTAAGACCAGCAAGAATATCACATTGATGCTCATTATTAACAACCACAGCAGTGTTATAAACCCTTAGGACAGCTGCTACAAGACTGGTATAATTCTCCCAGTTAGGCTGGGTGTTATCATGAGAGACTTGATATGGCTTTGAATTGATGACTAAGTGTTACTCATATTTTATTGACATTTTCAGAGTCATCGTTGCTGAGCCAATCAAACATGGTATTCTTCGTCTGTGGATCTTGTGGTGCATCACTCAAGAAAAACCAGGTGGAGAAGCACTGTGCTTTCCGTTGCCGCTATGTCGAGTATGTGTCCTGCATGGATTGCAACAAAGAGTTTTGGTAAGTTCTTATGCTTCAATTTTAAGTCTAAGGTCAACTGCTGATAGTAGTAATGCAAGTTAAGACTAATTTCTAAGAGGATGCTAAAGAGTATTTTACTTCTCATTGCTAAAGAACACTTGAGATACTGATGCATCTGGGAGGTAAAACTGTAAGAATTGAGAAAGAACTCACAGTAATGATATGAAATTAATAGCAATCTCTGAACTTTTTTGATGCTGTATTTGGTTCTTCACAGCCTTTAACTGAAGAGAGACCTTTGGAATTAAAGAGTCAATTTGAAAGGCAGTCTTTGAGTATTTTATATTGCTATTGGATAGTAATAATTTCAGTGTGTTTTAAGGTGTGAAAGCATGTGTGCACACTTCTCTTACATGTGTGAGAGTGAGAGTGAGAGTGAGAGTGAGAGAGAGAGAGAGAGAGAGAGAGAGAGAGAGAGAGAGAGAGAGAGAGAGAGAGAGAGTGAGAGTGAGAGTGAGAGTGAGAGTGAGAGTGAGAGTGAGAGTGAGAGTGAGAGAGAGAGAGAGAGAGAGAGAGAGAGAGAGAGAGAGAGAGAGAGAGAGAGAGAGAGAGTGAGTGAGAGAGTGAGTGTGACAAGCATGCATGCAAAGGTACGTTTATTGATGTATATATTCTTTACACCCCACAGGGGCCAGGAGTATGCCAACCATTTCAAGTGCATAACAGAAGACCAGAAGTATGGTGGCAGCAACTACGTGCAGAAGGAAAACAAAGGCGAGAAGAAGCAGGAGGCCTGGATAGCCAACGTCCAGGAACACGTTCGCGTCACGCCCAACATGGATCCACAGCTGCAAGAGATCCTCAACCGCATTATTGTCTTCACAAACATTCCACGTAAAAAGACGAAGTTTGAGGTCAGTAGGCCAGTTATTAGTATAGTCTGTAAAGAAAATGTAAACAACATAGCATATTTGTAGTGACAGTTTCAAAGGTTTTTATCAAAGTATCTTTAGTATGGAAGGTAATACTATTAACCTCTATGGTATATACACCTAATACTTTGCTGTTGCTCTGAATTGGTTGCACAGTTGCATGCAGAAGTAGTAATTTGCTATTGTGGAACTTGATAATTAAATTGAATGAATATAATTGGTTCTTAGATGATCTACTCATATATTTTATTAATATCTTTACAAGAATAAATAAGAATAGTTTTATCGCACAGGAGCTATAATTCATGCATTTCGATAATATGGTAATTAGAAATACATGTTTCAGCAGGACACTGAAGTGATGGTTACAATATGTGTAAGAAAGATTTTAAACAAGATAGGAATCTGCCCACAAGTAGCCCCAAGAGTACTGAATACTGCTAAGGCTGCAGCATATGCAAAAAAGCTGACATGATGATTACAGTGCACCTCGCTAATAAGGGCTACCATCCTCAAGATTGTCCAAGAAGATAGATAGTAGGATTTCAGATGAGATGTTGAGCCTTCAGTGTCATTCTTGTTCTTTAACTTATAAATTTGACAGTGAATTTCTGCTCTAATGCACGGGTGAGCAACCAATTAGGTGCAATATTAGAGTTAGGTGTAGTATGTATGTTTGTATGCATATGTATGTCTGTATGCATACATATTGTTATTATCATTATTTTTTTTTTAATTTTATTATTATTATTATTATTGTTGTTGTTGTTGTTGTTATTAATATTATTATTATTATTATTATTAGAAATAGTAGTAGTCATTGTCATTACCAAGATCATAGTCATAGCCATAGTCATCGTTATTGTTATGATTATAATTATGATGTATAATTTTGTTGTTGTTATTATTATTATTATCATTATTATTAATATTATTATTATTATTATTATTATTATTATTATTATTATTATTATATTATTATTATTGTTATTATAATTATGATTATCATTATTATAATTGTGTATATTTTATAATTATAATTATTTTTATGATTATTATTATAATTATTTTTATGATTATTATTATAATTATTATTATGATTATTATTATGATTATTACAATTGTTATTATGATTATCAGTATGATTATTATATCATTATTATTGATATTTTTTCTGTGATTATCAGTATGATTATTATGTTATTATTATTGATTTTTTGTCTGCCAAAGATCTGTTGGCATTAATCCCTCTCCACAGCAGGAATGGGAAATCAAATACCCTTCAGATGCATTTGGCACAAGGGGTATGTTAAGTTATGATGCTAAAAGGCATTCAGAAAGAGCTTTAATTGTAATAATAAATGTTATTTATCTTGCATTTATCAATATCTTTATTTTTTTATTTTTTATTTATCAATTTAATGAGTGCTTTAATGGTAATTTTATTAATTATTGAAGATGATTATGATGATAAAGAAGAGAATGAGGATGAAGAGGTTAATGACTATTTTGATGATGGAGATGGTGATAAAATGGTGAAAATGAAATCAGATAATAAAAGAAGTACCTCGTTGCACCTTTCCTTTTTGCTCAGCAAGTTTTGGTTCACTGTATACCTGAGAACTCCTCTGATCCAGGTAAAGGTGATGTCCATTGGAAGCACCCAGTCAAGCCAAGGCCTGACTGAGTGCATCAACTGCAGGCATGGGATGAGAACATTGACCTCTGAGGCAAGACCCCACTGAACCATGGTTTTTATTTTAGTTAAATTGGAAAGTTTAACTGTTGTAATAACTTTATTTCTCTCCCTGTCTCTTGTTAACAGAACTTCCTGGCGAACTGCATGAGGATTAGGGATCCACAGATCTTGGAGAAGGCATGGAAGGTGTTTGACGAGGCAAAGAAGAAAGAACAGATGAAAAAAGAAAATGAGGGCGATAACAGCAAAAACAACAAAGAAGGGAAGAAGAGGAAGGCATCAGATGAAAAGGAGAATGACTCGGCCAAGAAGAATGGGGTAGATGGTGGGGGAGATTTGGAGGAACCCAAGAAGAAGAAGAAAAAGAAGAACAAACATCAAGAAGGTGAAGAGGAGAACGAACAAGAAAACGCATGCAAAGAGGTGAATGGGACAGCTTTGGAGGAGGCGGAGACAGTAAACGGAAGCACTGTCGCGGGCGAGTGTCCGTCGCCCTTTAAATGGAAAACTGCCATAACCAAGTGCCTACAGACAGCTCCAGAGAAAGGACTCAAGATCAACAAGCTTAAGAAAATGGTGTTTGGAGAATATTATGCTGTGCATGGAGCTGATGGTCATGTCAAGTCAGAAACTGAACTATGCTCGCTGCTCAACAAAAAGCTCTCCAACAGAACTGACAAATATGTAGTTGTTAAAGACAGAGTTAAACTAAGAAGTACAACTGAGTAGAATTAGAGTTTTGATGGAAAGAGTCTTTGTAAACCATTATTTAATTTCACAGTACTTTACAGTAAGTATGATAAGTTGTTTAAAGAATATTTTCTAATAAATATTGTTGATTGACATCCATTGTGTAAATTTTTCCAAAAATCTACAGCTTCAGATGATTTCATATTTTAAATCACCATGGATTTATAGCCATAAATAATGTACACTTCTTATACCATATACACACGCGTGCGCACGTGCATCTTGCGATGACCACCACCAGGAGAGCTGCTGCTCTGCACCCAGAACACCTTTCACTGTAGCTGGTTTTCCTCCACCTTCTTCTTGTTCTTCTACTTCACCTTCTACCAGGAGCCAAAAATCCTCAATCAGACAGACAGAGGGAGGGAGAGATGGAGTGACAGAGAAAGAGGGAGGAAGGGAGGGAGAAACAAACACAGAGGGAGGAAATGAGGGAAAGACATGGAAGAGGGATGGAGAGAGAGAGAGAGGGAGGGATAGACAGACAGAGAGGAGGAGGGAGGGAGGGAGAGATAGAGAGACAAAGATGAGGGATGGAGAGAGATAGTGAGGGAGGGAGGGAGTGACGAAAAGAAAGAGGGAGGAAGGAAAGGGTGGACTACAGCTACTTTGAATTTGCAGGGGAAGAATACCAGCAGATTAGTGGTTTTACCATGGACTCCCCTCTTGAGTGGCTGGGCACCACGGTGGGTAAGGACTAAGATCAACCGAGTCAGCACCAGCAGGCACACATTAGTGAGTCGGCAGTAGTCGACACAGGCCGGACTCTGCTCAGCTTCCCTTATCAGACTTATCTTTGATGTGTGTATTTCTGATGCAGATATAATCGAAACCGGTCAAATACATCTCTTGTATTGTGAAGATATTAATTCTCATTCATACATTTTCTACACACACACACACCCATATAAATATATATTTGAAGGTTGAATTTCCAGAGCCTGGAACATTTCATAAACTTTTCTTAACTAAAATAAACCTGTGTGTCCAAATTTTCCTTATTAAATAGGACTTCAGAATTTATATACATATATCATATATATATTTACCTTTTTTTAGGCTACAGCATCCCAAAATTATCTTTTCATCTTAATTTTTTATCAAAAAGAATACAATTTTTTTTCTTTACATATAATTTCTTAAAACTTGATCATTTGTTTTTTTTTTCTTTTTCTGTTACTGGTGTCTGAGAAGGGTGAGAATTTGAAATTGCTCATAAAAAAAATCTAAATTTGAAAAAGAAAAAAAAACGGCAGGCTCCTTGGTGCCTAAAATAAATATGTATTTTCCATACTCATTTTTTATATATAGGGCAGAATAGCCTAATGGTGGCTGGTTCACTGGTGGTTCAAAGGACATTGTTGGAATATGAATGAGTAACAACTAATGACAGATAATTGTATTACTGCAGTACTGATTAATCATTTTTGCCACGAATGAACAGCTGTCTTTCGTAAATTAAACAAGTTGGTACTTCAGTTTGTGGAAGTGGCTAGGTTGTCTTTGTTTCAATTTCAGAACTGTAACAGAAATGATATGTGGAAACTTGCATGTTTTGAAGCTTAGTAAAATTACTAAAACAAAAGAGAGAGGTGTTCATAAAGCATATCTACCACATAGCAGATACTCATAATAATGATCATAAAAGCATTAAAGTTTCAGGTGGCAGAACCATTTTTCATAATATACTCTTGATCATATTATCTTCTGAGAATAATCTCGCAAAAAAGTGAAACAAACATACACAATCTCAAATCAATTCCATCAGGATATTGTTGAAATAAAAAATTCCTTTTGAATAATTACTATGTGTATTTCATATAAAGTTGAATACTCTCCAAGGAATGCGTTCATCCCTTGATATCAAATATACTCTACTTGACATCCAAGCACAGCACATAAGACTCATGCAACTACAACTGATTCCTTTTAATATAAAAGGTTTGTCCACAGCTGCTAGTACATGTGTCTGTGATACGTGTGCTGCTTCTTGGGCTGGTTCCGGTGCTGCTGCTGATGCCGAGGGACTGTGTGACCTGGGTTTGTGACCTCTGGGGCGGAGGAGCTTGAGAAGAGCGTCTGTTCCCTGAGGGTTTTCAAGTTGATTTCTGCGGCTTTGATCAACTGTGAAAGAGAGAGAAAAGGGAATGAAGTTTATAAGTGAGACAAATTATCATTTTGCACTGGTTAAACGAGGGGGAGGAGAGAAAGAGAAAGGTGCCATTAATGTGCATTTTTGATAATTCCATGCAAAGAGAAGGAAAAAATGGCTGAATATCCTGATGTTCTACTATATACAGGAATGAAAAAGAGATTTTAGTTTTCTTTAAATAGGAATAAAACCAAAAAATTGATTCACATTAACTATTCTGTCAAAATTATTCAAGAGCTTTGCATACTAGATATGGATATACAGTTTTTTCTCATGCAGGTAGATTCTGTATGTAATAATTACAGGGTCTTCTCTAACCCACTGCCGATGGGCATGGAATGTATGTATATGCCATGCCCACTGTGAGTTTATTTGTTTAATTGTTTTTACTCATAGATATATATACTTGTACTAAGTCACTAATGAGCCTATTATGAGTACTGCCTGTCTCGCCCATTCACCCTTTTCATTGATTTATGAAAATATATTATGTTATCTTATTTTGCTGTTATTAATGTCTATTAAATTATAGTAATTATAATGTTTATAATAAAAATAACACCATCGATATTAAAAGCACTAGTAAAAAATATGTTTTTCCCGCCAATTCAAGGAAAGGTGAAATCAGGTAAGGTCTCAAGATCTACTAATTGACTCCTTTGTGGCTAAGCACTAGCAGAGCCATATATATGCAGAGACATTTCACAAAAATATAAAAAATGAGCACGGCATTTTTCCCAGCAGCAATGGGTTAATATACAAACAGTTGCTTACACTGGCAGACGTTTCATCCCCATTTTTGTAGCTATAATCTGCAAGTGGCTTCAAGAACATGTTGATGATTCTTAATGCCAAGTTTGCATCCTCCTTGTTCTTCAGTGAGCATGAAGCCTGTAAAAATAAATATAATATGCTTAAAAATCTTTAAAAAGTTGATGATTCTCTAAATAACACACTATTTATGGATACCTATTTTAGTAAGGTATAAATCTTCTGATGTCATTTCTTTGGAAACTAGACAACTAAGTCATTTAGATAACATAGAAAAATCGATACTGAATGATTTTTATAACTCACAACCTACAGATGTATTATTACTTTTGCAGTCTGTAACATTCACATACCAATACAGGAACATATTCCCCATCTTCTTTTCAAATGAAATACTCACCAATTTATGAAGCATTGTTCCCACGACACCATGGAGTGTAACTTCTTGTGTTGCAGGTACAGTGTGTGACGAATCTCTTGTGTAGTTTCTGTCCCGAGAGTCTGACCAGGAATTTGCACTGTCATAGTCATCCTGCACAGGTCCCTCCCTGGAGAAATAAACAAAATAAAATGAACCATTACCAGAGTAACAAATTGGTGGAAACTATATACAACACATCAAGCAAAATATGCACATGAAGTGATTCCACAGGAATACACTTTATTTCGGTGAGATCCAAATATTCCTTTTTGATAGGATGAAGACATTTTCTTTGAAAAAATAAAATACATTACCTGTAATCACCATATGGTGCTTCCCCAGGGTTTTCTCTTGAAGAGGGTGGATTTTCTCTTTTCCCAAGTTTACCTTAATAAAAAAAAGTTATTAAAATGCTGTGTAGTTTACCCATGTAAAATTATAAATAATATGATTTTATTGTTTCATAGCAGGTAAACAACACTACAAACACAGACACCTGGCAAAAAAAAAAAAAATAATAATAATGCATTTCTACTGTAGCTGTGTTTAATACCAGCTAAACAGGATTGGAAATAATGTATCAAGACAGACCATTATTCAACAGAAATTAAAGGGAAAAAAATCTATCCATTTGGAGAGTCCAACTTCTTTAATGTTCTCAAGAACTTCATAAACTAAGAAAATCAGTCCCATTCTGTTATACTTAAAAAAAAGGTAAAGAGTAAGACAGATATCCAGTAGGAAAAGAGAGATACAAAGACAGTCAGATACAGATAGTCCCCGACTTAAGAACATTCTACTTATAAACATTCCATACATACAAACAAAATTTTAAGTACTAAAGTCCAAAAAATTGTTTGAAAGATGCTAGCAAACTTCAAATTTCCCGGGCACGAATATAGTTCAAGAGTCTGGAACTGTATAAGGTATGTCGTACTTATTGGGATTTATTTACAGGTATTCTTAATGTAAACAAAACTTTAAAACAATGGGAAAAAGGTAATGGAGACCCGACTTTTGACATACAAACAAATCAACTTACAAACAGCCTCTCGGTCCCCATTAAGTTCTTAAGTTGGGGACTTACTGTACTTAAATTTAGGAGGGGAAAAAAAAAAATTATATATATATACATATATATATATATATATATATATATATATATATATATATATATATATATATATATATATATATATATATATATATATTTATATATATATATATAATAGTAATAATAATAATAATAATGAATGGAGTTAATACCAAAACACTCAAACCTATGAACTCACTTTCATATCTGGAACTGCGCTCCTGGCTCGAGAAGTGATCACCATACCCAGAATTCCTGTTCCATTCTCGGTCATGGGAATTCCGTGGGTTGAATTTAGAGTACGGAGTGTCCTTCTCTCTTGGAGGTCTGTCTCTCGATGGCCGGTCTCTGTATGGACGGTCTCTGTTGTTCTCGTTTCCAGAATAGTGCGAACTCTCCTTGTGCGAGCCATCCCTGGAATTTGAAAAACTGCCACTGCAACAATGAAGCCTGCTTTAGACCTGGATATGGGGTTTTATCTAGATACTTATTCTACAATAATGGTAGATTTGAGAACTTCTGTACAAACATGCTACAAAATCAAGAATCAGACTTAAGACTTGTGTAATCAGCAGATAACACAGTTCCAAAGGAAATCTTCTGCCATTATACGTGAATCAATATTAGCTCTATAAACATTTTCACTTTGTTTGATTTT